TAGGTGCTTGGTGCGCTACGCAACGAATTCGAACGAGATGCTCTCTCTCATGGGACGTCGTGCCCATCCTTGGCAACCAAGGCGTAAAGCAGCAGCAATGTTCACTTCGGATTCATTCGGAGGACCGAACTACCAGGGGTGGTTCCCCTTTCAGTAACGAGATTCCATCTTTTTGAAGGGGTTGCTTTGATTAGTAGGGTCCTCCGGATTAATCCGAAATCCTGGGGTGTCTTCCAGTGAAGCATCTCAGAAAAGGAATTCTAAACGGATTCCTTGCAAACCTTCTTGAAACGGCAAGGCCCAAAACAGAACTGAAGAGGTGCCTGCTTTGTTTCATGTTCGATGGCACGCCTGCGCTTTCCATCTCTGAAACATCCTGGAACTGCACCTCCACATACGTTTCACTGAAAGCAACAGGGGTCCCTCGATTTACCCTTCAGTTGCAATTGACTGGCGGGTTCCATTGAAACTATTTGGAGGCTCCAAATTAGGGAGAGGAAACCCCGAGCAAAGAAGCAGACATACATTCGCAAGCTGACTCTCACAAACTTGTTCATGGCTGTTCCTATGCTCCAAGTCCCGAATAGGGCCGAGGTTGTGTCTCCGCTTCCACACACTGCATGATTCTGAAATCGGTCCCCGAAAAGCTGCGAACTCACGCGGACTTGCCCTCGAAAAGTGACTTTGGGCAAGGCCCAAAGCGCCACTCTGGGATTTCTCACGGCAAAACCATTGGCGCAACCACCCTGATTGGCTCGAAGATGTGGTTCAGTGGATGGAAGAGCACCTAGAGTCTCCATGACCATTACCCTTAATAATGGGGTGGACCTATTTTTAAAGGGTCATGGAGACTCCAGGTATTTCTGCGTTGGTAGGACAAAGACGGGGAGTTGGGATCAGGTTGGGGTGGAGTTGGGGGTGGACTTGAGGTCGAAGCGACTCCTCCGCAAGAAGAGTTGTTCACTCACAGAAGGTACAACCCAAAAAACCCAAAGGAAACCCCTTAAATGCCAGCCACTTTCAAACGGCCTTGGCGACGAGATGTGGTGTGTGCGGTTGCGCGGTAATTCACGGGACACAACTGGCTGAACTCACCTCCCTGCCAAAAGCAACATATCAGCAAACTGCAAATTATTCTTAGTATTATTCTTGCAACGTGCGCACATCGACACAACGGCAACCGCACAAAGAGGCCCCGCAAATCGAGCGGTTCAAGGAAAACTAAGGTCCGGGCACTAGTATGGCCAGTCTCCTGGCGTAGAATCTGCCTGACTAATGTTGACTACCTCCGAACTGAGGCTCACTGAGGCCTTTGGTGAATAACAAGCAGACTTAAATGCGAACCAACAGCAGCATGCCATGTCAGCGATCTATGTTGCTGAAACAACCTGAAGTGTCATTTAATCAGCTGACTTCAGAGGACGCAGGAACTCGGCAGTAAGATCTGGCTTTCAGGTAGAAGACTTGAGCGGGAAGCAGAATCATAACTGATCGAAACATCGACGGCGGCCCCAGTGGCCCCGTCCTCTAAGCGCCGCTGACCTCTGACGACCTTGCCCTCCCAAAGGAGGGACCTTGGTGGCCCAATAGTGAGGCGCGAAAGAAGCAACTGAGGACGTGCGGGATGCATTGCAAAATTTAATTATATCAGTAGAATCAGAGTGCAATCTTGCATGCCCGAAATATCGCTGTGTCCTCCAACTGCTGAGGAACTTTGGAAGGGCTCTGTAGAAGGCTTCTGGGAACGCGTGTGGGGGTGAAGAGTTTGAGGCTGAATTATTCAGCACATTCATATCCTATGACCATGACTCACAATTTGATGTTCAAGTCACGTACAACACCATTCTCATTGCTCTTAGGCCCTTTTGGTAGATCGTCAACTATCAGCTGACTCTTATTCATGCCGACACTTCAGGGAGCTTCCGGAGCTCCGATATCCAGCTCCATTCTCGGCTAATCGCGCAACTCGTTGCAGTTCTGTCAAGAACGAGGGCCTTTTCCCATGGCTTTGCTTTGCCTGTAGATGGGCTCCAAAAAGGAGGCCCAGTTGACAAGCACCCAACGAGCTGTGCGTCAAAACATCTCATCCACTGGTTTTCAGCTCTCTGAGAATCTGACAGCTCCTGGCGCCCTCAGTGCGATTTGCGCAGCGACGGTTGGTTTGGGCTGGGTTGGTTCACATATGTGTCTCACCTCTTGAGTAGATGGCGCAGCAAAAAAGAGTTGGCCAAACTTCTTCACACAAAGTTTAACGGTCCAGAAACTCAGGAAGAGAGGTTTAGACATGAAGCGGGGCAAATGTTGGAATTGTCCCAAGTCCACTTCCGCAGCTGGAGGCAAGCGGGACAAGTATTCCGTGATGGTACTGCTTGGTTTGCTTTGTAAGTTGTACCGTCGTACCCTTCTTCCAAGGCTTCCCTGTCTGAGCATAAGCAAAGCAGCCACCGTACTGCGAAATGATTGCTTCGGTTTTAGACAGTGACCTCTACAGTGCATTCAAACATCCCCAACGCGCCAGCCTTGCCTGAATTTTTAACGCCAACCGAGGCTTGAATGAAACCACAGCTTCATCATGGGCGAGATCATACATCTCCTTGGTAAGGGCGCGACAAATTCCCCCCCAAACAAAATAACATAAACAGAAAAAACAAATAAGAACAAAAGATAAATTAATAATATTATTATTTATTTGTTTTATTTAAAAAACAGTCTAAGCCGCCTGGGTGAGGGCGCAACAATATCCTCCCCAAAAACAACAGTTGTTCTTCTATACAACGCCTTGTCCGCCCTGCCCTGGGATTCAACACAGGCAAAAGACCGCCCAAATGGGTTTCGGACAGGCTGAGGTGCCGGGCAAAGCGCCAGCAAAATGCTGGTGCCCAAGGTGCCCGGGACCAAATACAGCAGCGCTGGCTGACCTCACCGTCCCGTGTCCCCGTTGGCTCACAGGCACCGAACACATGTGAGCTTCTCTGGACCATGTGCCAGCTGGTATGTCTGCTGTTGCATGTAATGTTCACCCCGGATTAACAAAACCCCTGGTTGATTAATGGGGGGTGTCCCCTTTTAGTGGGGATTCAGACCGCTTTTGCAGGGAACACCCCCCTAATAATGGGACGGGTTTATTAATCCTGGGTCAACATTCAGTGGATCATGTATGTCTGCTTTTGCCGCACTGTGACTGGTGGGCTCTCTTCTCTACAGCTTTCAATGTTGATGTCGTTGAAACGATGCCATAATACTAGCCGGAAGTCCTATGCACGATTCTGTAAGGTCCTTGCCCATCTTCATGATGGTCAGCGCTGCTATTGTGACCTTGGTTCAAAGCACGCGGTCGAAACCAAAACAATGCAAACCAGAACAACACAGTCTACCTGTCGCGCATAGATATGGCGCAAGGTGTCATCATGCGTCAACATAAGGAGTCCCTCATCTGCTAGATGTTGAGACATGTTGAGCAAAACCAAATATGAGCACAATCAAGAGAGACGCTCCCAGGCGTGGCAAGCTGACAGAAAAAGGGTCAAACAGCTTCAAAGCGGGCAACACGTGCTGAGGCATTCTAATATAGGCATGCTTCCATTCTCCAGCAACTGCTCGCAAGTGATTGTGGGAAGCTGCAGCTATGCGCTGTCTTAAAAGACATCTTCCAGATCCGCATTTCGACGGTGGGGGCAGTCCTTTTTGCGCTAGGGTATCCGCCGTTCGCCTTTCTGCAGTGGTCCGCTGCCGATCATGATTCGTGAACGGAGGCTTGCAAAGAACGATTTGTCAGCCCTCCTAGGGGGGGGTAGGGGGTCCCCCGATTCCATTTATCTAGTCTTCCCCAAAATGGAAGTAAAAATGGAATTCCAGGGGTCACCCCCCTCCCCAATTCCATTTTTAAGGGGGCGGATATGATTTGTTCATTCTCAGCTTTTTGCCTCAGCCTTGTTGGCCTTCAAGCTACTCATCAAGCGCAAGGGTGAGGCGGAAGGATGTGCTTGCCGAATGTTCAGCTTCCCACTCGACATGGTCTGTAAGCATACCATGGTTCGCATGTGCGATTAAAAAAGAGCGGAAAAACACTACGATCTTGCCGAGCTATGAATCCAAGTCTTATGGGTCCTTCAGGCCCAATCATATCATAGCCGCATCCGATTTCTCCGAGCATCTGGCGCACAAGCCAGTGAAGTAGCCAACCAAGGAGGGGCCAAAGTAGCCTGAAGAACTGCTCGGCGCATTCTTGGCTCCACATGGCCCAGATAGTATAGCCATCATATGGAACAAATGGGGTCTCAAAACATGCGGGGAACCTGTCAACCTGTTTTAGGGGTTGAACTTCTCGACAAAAAAACGGAACCCTTGACCTTTTTTCGGGGTTCTCAGATCTTCGTGGTGTCCGGTCAGCGCTTGGTACACCTTTCTGCTATTGGTTTATAAAGGGAAACCAAAAGGGAAAAAAGAAGCATGGCAAAAATGGTGCAAAGCCTTGAGGGCAAAAGAAGCATGGCAATCAAGGTTTGTTGGGGGGGGGGGCCTTAAAAAAATGGTACACCCACATGTAAACCGATGGAGCAGAAACCATAGGTGTCCTGATAGGGCCAATTGATGGCCCTCGATGATTAAACCAGGTAAACCAGGAATCGCCATCAGCTCTTCCACCAAAACAACCAAAAGTTGGACACCTAAGGCAACAAGGCAACAAGGCAACACCTATGGTAACAACCAAAAGGGCCACCTATGGCAGAAAGCCTCCTGCCAGGATCCGCCACGTCAAGCCGAGCGATCTCCAGGCCCTGATGTGCCCGAGGTTCTTGCCGAAAAATTCGGGGGCCTTCGTGCCTTCCCCCGCCCGTTCTTCGTCCTCCCCAACAAACGAGGGGGCGCAAATTAGTCGTAGTTATAAGGAATCAGTCGTGGTTAGGGCACCTTCTTCCAACAGCCGGAAGCTCAGTTGGCAAAAAAAGTCGTCCTCCGGCCTTCAAAGGCCTTTCGATGGCTCATGAGGTCGTGCCGCCTCAGGTATGATACCTGGCAGCTTTTCCGACACTGTTTTGGGCACGGGCTGAAGAGCCATCTTGGGCTGGGTCCATGTTTGGGAGGTGAATTCACCTGGCCACATTGATCCGAGAAGTGCTCAATTGTTTGTTTGTTTGTTTGTTTGTTTGTTTGATTGATTGATTGATTGATTGATTGTTTGTTTGTTTGTTTGTTTGTTTGTTTGTTTGTCTCTTGCTTGTTTGTTTCTGTGTTGGTTGGTTGGTTGGTTGGTTGGTTGGTTGGTTGGTTGGTTGGTTGGTTGGTTGGTTGGTTGGTTGGTTGGTTGGTTGGTTGGTTGGTTGGCTGGTTGGCTGGTTGGCTGGTTGGCTGAATGGCTGGCTGGCTGGCTGGCTGGCTGGCTGGCTGGCTGGCTGGCTGGCTGGCTGGTTGGTTGGTTGGTTGGTTGTTTGGTGGGTTGTTTGTCTCTCGGCTTGCTTGTGTCAGCTTGTTTGTGTCTGTGTTTCTTTGTTTCTGTGGGCGGGCCAACTGCGCACTTCTTGGTATCTTTCGCTCTTGCTGGCAGAGGCGTGGTTGTTCCCTCCACATTCATGTCTTCATTCCTTGGTGTCAGCATTTGGCTGAAGACGGTGTGAGAATACAAGAAACTGCTTAATTATTGTCACCAGATTAAGAAACCGCTCCTATTAATAGAGGGTCCTAACGTGATGGATCCCACACAACCCAGGGACACCCACCCCCACAATTTAACTGAGTTTGATGAAACTGGCGTTCCCATTGTTAAATCATCAGTCTTGGAGCATCCAGAAGATACCCTGCTGGCGTCGTAAGACAAGAGCCTGAAGTTTGGCCACATTGGAACTCTTTCTCTTACACACTTGAGAGCTACTGAAACAGTCCGCATACACAGCCATCTGCGCAACCACACACACAACCACTCACAATCGCACAGAAGTATGACTTGCTAAGCTGATGTTGACACAACCAGAAATAACGGGATGGCAACAACAGGAGCTGTCAACTGTTTGCCTCTTCCAAAACTTGGAGACTGAGTTCACCTAAAGCAAGATGCCTTGATCATTGATTTAGATGCCAACTAACTCCGACTCTCGTCTCCAAAGCCTGGTGTATGCCCCAGTCTTGACTTGCTGTATCAGTAAACGTGGAAATGGCTGCATCAAGCTTCCGAACATTCCCCCTCCAATCACCCCACACGTTGGCACAAGAAAAACACACCGGTCTTTTGAAAGGCGTTGTTTGTGGGATGGAAAAAACGGAATACTCAACCTCAAACAGGTCCTTTGATGCTGACACGCTGACTTGCTGACTTGTTTCCCTTCCCATGGCGCACCAGCAGGCCAGGCAAGGCGATGTCACCAAACCTCGGATGATGGGATGATGGGATGATCGGATTGTTTTTTGCCGCAGCGAATGGCCAGTCTCTGAAATCCAAGCTGCCTCAAATGGTGTTGGGTGGTTCCCAAACTTGCAAACCGAAGATGGTGGGTTCCCAACCCCTGGAATGGTAGCAAACAACAGTGTTTTTCGCAGCCCCCTGCTACAAACGAACAGACCCAAAAAACAAACTAAACAAACATGCCAACAACAGTACCATTGGTTTGAACAGGGCCCATGCGGGTTGCTCGGAGCTGTCTGCTCCGCAAAAAAATATCGGACTGAGGATGCGCGCCCGAGCATGCGATCTCCACCCAGCGGATCGCCAAACTGCGGTATCCTCACGCTCTTCCAGCCCAAGAACCCCGAACGTCACGTAAAGAAATAACCTTGATAAGTTTATGTCAAGATAATATTCACGTACTTGTGAACATGTCAACATCATATTCAGGCAGTGCGATGGAAATCCCAGGACCCTGAAACTCAAGCCTCTTGTTCTGGATGGGCCAGGGAAGAGCTTTGGATTAAGTGGAGTTCAATATCCGCAACATCTCGGCCTGAAATGCACATGGGATACTTATAAGGTCAGGATCAATGGCAGGGATTTGAAGGCCAAAAGGACTTGATGGTGTTTAGCGCTAGGTCCGGACATATTGGGAAGCCACCAAACACGGTGAATTGTTTAAGGCACGCCACGGGTAATACCGACAACAAGTTGCTCCTGATGAGCATGGGCACCGTCTCGCCGGTGCCACCGCCGGTAGCAACGCTCACCATAACGCTCTTCTTGAACTGATGCACTGAAATGAAGACCTCAGACTCGCCACCACACTGCGCCCATCATCACACCAAGGTCTCATCCAAACAAGAACCCGGCCAAGTCGTTCTATTGACAGGAGGCAGCCACTAGGGGCTTCCATCGAAAGGTTCTGAAGCAAGTGCAAATGCTCTCCCACACTAGGCAGCAGTGCCCAGTAGATGTCGAAGAAAAACATCGCCACCAGCAGCACAGTGGCTGTCTTGAGGTTGGGAAGCCTGGCGCTAGCCCCGAGCATCTTGAGAGACACTCGGGGTACATGGTGTCGAGGGTCCTTTTCTATATACTAATATGGGTGTGTCTTTCTTTAGCCCCAAAAATGCGGTTTTTCTATTGGTTTCCTTTTGAAACCAGCAAACAATTGGGTACCCTCAAAAAACAAAACAAACCCTTTGCCTTAGCCTTTGGCAGTCATCCCTTTCCTCCAAGGTGGATTTAACTGGTATACACACATTGCTGGAAGAAAAGGATTTGAACCGGGCTATGTTGAGAAATCAGGCCCGGCCAACTGCTCTCCAGGACAAATCCAGGTTTGGTTCACGTGATACCGACATGCGGGTCAACCTGTTTGCCATTCAGCTCGACCATATTTCTGCAACCATCTTGGTTGCTGTTGACCCCTCTGCAAAAAGTTCAACTTTTCGTGGGTTTAGTGGAAAACCCAACTTGATTTCAACCAAAAAGTTAAAGTCTAAAGATCCAACCCAATAGCAGTCAAGCCATAGACCCACTCTCCAATGCCCCACGGCAATGCTCGAAGGAGACTCCTTCCGGCCATGCAGTTGGCATATGAAAAAAGCGCATGGCGCGTGCAAAAAAAGAGACCCGAGCCCTTGCAGATCTATCTGGTCGCACTTCACAGTCCAAAGGGAACGGAACCTGAAATCTCAGCTTCCCAACCCAGAGGGTGTTTCTTGGTACCTTCTAGAGACTTACACCCCTTTTTCCCCCCCAGACGCCATCAGGAAATACTTCCCGAAAGCAGCCCGCTGCGTGCAAACGCCCTCACGGCATCGAAGCGTTGGCCTCAGGGTCCGCTGCATCCAGCACAAGAAGCTGGCACCGATGATGTCCTGCGCAAGGTCCACATGGAAGCAGTACTTGAATGTCCCTTGAATGGTTGGAATGTTTGGATTTTGTCCTGGAATGGGTCCAGTGTCATATTCGCTCAGCTCATCTAAAGCAGGCTTGGATAGATGTCAGGAAAGTGCGCGAGCTTTGCTTTTGGTCAATCCTGACGCGCTGGCAGTGTGTTGAATCGATTCGCCGAGCGCCAGCTTCGATGCCAGTCAAAAGCAGCAAAGGGACCAAGGATTGGACTCAAGGACTTCTTGCAAACCCTCAGGGCCCAAGTTTGGAAGGGACGCGATCTTGCTTGGGCTTTGAGACAAAAAGGTCTTGACCCGATTTGTTGGTGGCACCAAGTTCATTGATGCCGCTTGAGATCCGAAAATTCCTAGGATGGCAGGCTTTCGCATCAGCTTGGGCATGTTCGTGCAAATCAAGGTTGGGCATCTGTCCCGGGGAATGCGAGTTCGACTGGCTTTTGTTGCCCGCGGCTGGCTTGAATGATTCTCACACGACATGCTTGAAATGTGTCTCCTTTCCATTTGAGAAAAACTCTTTCATGAAGCAGCCGAGATGTGCGGCAACTCTGTGGAACAAGCATGACACATGTAGCAGCAAACGTGCTGGGCTTCCCACTTCGTTCTGCCGACTTGGTGTCAATCGTGTTGCCCCAAGAAAATTGCACCCTACTTCATGCCACAGCACAAGCCCCACTTTGTTGAGGGCCCGTGCCTTTCAATTTCTCCCTACTTCACACCCTTGGTATGGTAGCATGTCTTGTTGCAGCCCCTTATAAAAATGAACAGAACCAACAAAAACACTTGCCAAGAACAGTGAAGCCTCGGTTTGGCCAGTGGCGCTAACAAGGAGTCCCCCGAAGAAAACCGAGCGGCTGCCGGCGGCCTGGAACGGCCAGCCGTACGGAGTATTCCGGAGGATCAGCCAGCACCTTGCGACGGCCATCGAACGACAGACAAGCGATTGGCCGAACAAAGTGGAAACTCGGCAAAAGCTCAGTTTCCATCACAAGCTCCAAAGAAGTGACAAGTGTAAATAGGTGACTCTTTTCTGTTGCATGACAAGCTCCAAACAAGTGAGTGTAAATGCGTGACTCTGAGCCGATTTTCCCCAGCTTCCTTGTATGCCAGAAGCGGGCATCCGAGTTTGCTTCGTCAAGCGAGCTGATGGAAGCGATGTCGGTGTCACATGTGCTCGTCATGTCTAGGGGACTTCTTCCTTTCCGGATCCGGCAACTGTCTGGTGCCAATGGTCATCCCGCCTTTCAGCCAGCCGAAGCCCAAGGAGATAGCAAAGATCCGTTCAAAATGAAACGCCAGCCTGCGGAGCTGTCAACCAGATGTCTGAAATGCCAGCTAAGTCTTGTATGCGGCTGTCGGGAGGGCAGTTTTTCAAAAATGAAGACAGACAAAGCAAATGGAGGTAGTGAACAGGGCATCACCCCCACCAAGGCACACTCACCTTTCATGGGCCGAAAAAGTGATGTTTAAAATCACCAAGGGAAATAACTCGGGATATCTGTTGAGCGAGGACAGCAAATCTTGACCCTTTCCTGAGCCTCAACCATGGAGCCTTTGGAGTAATCCTGAAGCAGGATTACATATTTTCATGTGCGAAGAACAAACAAAAAACACGACTGTGAGCCAACAAAGTCGAACACCAAACCAAGGACGTTAAAGGTAAATCATAGTAATAATTCTAGAATCTTGGACATAATATCAGAATGACCATTCTAGCTCTAATTCTAACAGCATATTGACATCATAATCGGCTATTTGTGCTACTTTTCATTTAATTGTGTTTCCCCAAACAGCGAAGCATTGGGGTTCTAACTTGAGGTTATAGAGAATGGGAAAGCGTGACGCCGATTCCGGGGTCCTGTTTTCTGCTTGTCTTCCTGTCTCCCAGTCTCTCCGGTCAGATGCCAGATGCTGTGACGCCGGCTCCAGGGTCGTGTCTCCTTGTCTCCCTGTGTCTCCCCGTCTCTGCGGTCGGATGCCAGATGCTGTGACGCCGGCTCCGGGGTCGTGTCTCCCGCTTGTCTCCCTGTGTCTCCCTGTCTCTGCGGTTGGCTGTTTGTTTGATGCTTACAGCCCTCAACAGGGTCCCGGGCAAAACCAACTGGAGCTGCTTCTTCTTTGCGGTTTCGGGGCTGACCTTGCTTGCTGCCAGCTGGCTGTTTTCCTGCTTACAGCCCTCAACAGGAAAAATGAAGGTCCCGGGCAAAACCAACTGAACTGTTTCTTCTTACCCAGTTTTGAGGCTGAGCTGGCTTGCTTGGCATCCAGTAACCGGCGTTCGGCTCCCTTCGGCTCCCTTCGGCTCCCTTCGACTCACGTGGCAGCAGCTCGCAAGCGCAATTGAGAAGCATCAAGCTAGAAACATAGATTCGACAAGTCAGCAGGAACCACTTGCAACAATGCTTCGCAATGGGGAAAGGGCATGTCGCAGATTTTGCTGTTAGCCTGTGTGCAAAGGATGTGCAGCGCAGGTTTGCATCCTTGTGGAGCATCGTTGGAGCTAGAAGCTAGCAATGTCGAGCCCTATTTTTTCTCGATAAACAAACAAATCGTGACATCCGGCTGGCTTGCTTTGCTCCGGAAACTGAGCTGCTTTTTAGAAGCCAGTGCCGCACTTCTTGGTCAAGTGCAGGTTTGCATCCTTGTGGCGCACCAGCAGGGCCCTGTCGAGCCTGTAATATGTCTATGTTTCTCGATAAAAACAAATATATAGTGACATCCGGCTGATTGCTTTTTGGAAGCCAGCGCAGCACTTCTTGGCCAAGTGCAGGTTTGCATCCTTGTGGCGCATCAGCAGAGCCCTGCCGAGCCTTAAATATGTAGACTGGTTTCGATAGACAAATACGGCTGATATAGAGCTGCTTTTTGGAAGCCAGTGCCGCATTTCTTGGTCAAGTGCAAGTTTGCATCCTTGTGGCGCATCAGCTGAGCTCTGTCGAGCCTTAAATGCTTGGTCAAGTGCAGGTTTGCATCCTTGTGGCGCATCAGCTGAACAAATACCGTGACATCGGGCTGATACTGAGCTGCTTTGTGGAAACCAGCGCCGCACTTCTTGGTCAAGCGCAGGTTTGCATCCTTGTAGCGCATCAGCAGAGCCCCGGTGTCCATTTTTCTTGATAACCAAATATACATCCGCCAGGTTGCTTTGCTCAGGATTCTGAGCTGCTTTTTGGAAGCCAGTGCCGCACTTCTTGACCAAGTGCAAGTTTGCATCCTTGTGTGGCGCATCAGCAGAGCCCTGTTCTCGATAAACAAATACCGTGACATCCGCCTGAGTGCTTTGCCCAGGATTCTGAGCTGCTTTTTGGAAGCGCTTCTTAGCCAAGTGCAGGTTTGCATCCTTGTGGCGCATCAGCAGAGCTGTCGAGCCTTAAATCTGTATATTGTTCTCGATAAACAAATATACCGTGACATCTGCCTGATTGCTTTGCTCAGGCTTCTGGGCTGCTTTTTGGAAGCCAGTGCCGCACTTCTTAGTCAAGTGCAGGTTTCTGGCGCATCAGCAGAGCCCTGTCGAGCCTTAAATGTGTCCATTTCGTTCTTGATAAACAAATACTTTGCTCAGGATTCTGAGCTGCTTTTTTGGAAGCGCGCACTTGTTGGTCAGGTGCAGGTTTGCATTCTGGCGCGTCAGCAGAGCCCTGCCGAGCCTTAAATATGTACTGTTGTTCAACAAATACCGTGACATCCGCCTGATTGCTTTGCTCAGGATTCAAGTTGCTGAGAGAACTTGCTCAGATAATTTGTGCCAAGAACTTGCCTGGAGAACTTGCTCAAAGGAACTCGCGCTCAGAGGAACTTGCGCAGAGAACTTGCTAGGAGTACTTGGCGCCGCGCGCGGCTCATGCTTTCGGGCCACCCATCTTCTAGTCTCCTCTTGGTAGCGTCACTGTAGTTCGAGCACCCTTTCTTGTTGGCAGTGCCGTTGTAAACCTTGCCTCCTATCTTGTTGCCAGTATTTAGCACCTTCTCAGTTGGATAGCCATGTGGCCCGGCC